GATGTAGTGACAAGTGTTCTGCAACCATAATACAGTTCAATTTTTGTCTACGCGGCATGATTTAACTAACAGTGTGTCTGATGGGTTTCTAATACCCATTATTCTGCTCATCTCTCATATTTTAGCCTCTGTCAGAAATGCTTTAGGGGTGATGGTACTTTGCTATGCATGTAAAGGACAATTGGTTATGCCCAAACTGTTACCTATATAAACCTTAATATCTGATTTAAACAAGGAGAGAAATCCGCAATCATAATGCTGCAAAAGCAGACAAGCACATGATTTGAAAGTAACTGTCTTTTAATGGCTTGTTCCAAATGTTACCTACTATTGTGCACTGTAGAATATAAAGATTCTATAGTCCAAAGCAAAACTTCACTTATTTTGGCTTTTTCATCTTCCCTGTTTTGAAGTCCTGTTTTATTGTTTGTTTCTTTAGATAGTTTGTACTTACTTTTGTCCTATATATAACAATTCATTTTTCTCTGTGGAAAGCAGTCTGTTTACAAGTGAAATAGAAGTGTGCCATGTTTAAAAATGAGATGCTATTCAAGTTTTGCCAAGCATAACAGGCTTATCAACAGCTATAGGTGGTGTACGTCTTTCACTCTCACAGCTGTAATTTATCCTAGTTTTTTAGCAGTGGACTGTAAATATTGCTGCATCCCTCTGGAATAATAATGTATAATGGAATTTTATATTTGCATATTTTCTTAATGTTAATTTGTGAGGAAAATGTAATTGTCTAATGAAAACCATTCAATAAGTATTTAAAGAAGAAATGCTTTAGAATATTTCAGGGCAATTTATTTCTTACTTTACTTTTTTTAGAATATAGTTCTCTGTACCTTCTGTTTAGCATGGAAGGGGGCGCGTGTTTGTTCTTAAGTTTCCTTCATCTTGCTTTTTCAAAAGCACAAATAACATAAAACAAAATGTCACAAACCAATGTGGTGTTTGGGGGTGGATAGCTCACTGGTATTCCTCATAATGTAAATACTTGAATATTTAATAAGGAGGAAAAAAGGTGAATATCAGGAACTGCCATCTTAATTAAGATAGATGAGGGTGCTAAGAATGTTCTATGCATTGGTTTTTAGTCTTCAAAGTACTCAAGATACAAAGGTATATGGATCCATATAGCAAACAGATTCACAGCCACTAATGTCTCTACTGTTGGCCCTTCAAAAGTGAGAATGCAAACTTCTCTCTGGTTTTGAAGAATTTACTGCAGTTTGTGTACTGCTAATAGCTGTGTTTCAGTGCAACAGCTAAACCCTGATGAAACTGTTAAGTCTTTGAGTATTGCATTTGTTATATAGGAACTTACTCTATAGGAAATATTTTCAGCACTTCTGTTTAATCATTTTGGGCCAATTTATGGAGGTTAGGACTGACAAACTCTTCTCAAAGCAGTAACTGCTTGCTTTCATGCACAGAGCAGTCGTACATTTCCATTCCTGATAGAGCATTGCTTATTAATTCTCAGCCAGAGAACACTTCTCCATAAGCTTTAAGGAACCTGTGATAAGAAACTTACAGTGGTAGAAAAGAATCTGGAGTATTTGCAGATTTTAATGAAGTAAAAGATGTGTTGATTAACTCTTCACAGTTCTGACATTCTTCACTCTGTCCAATTTTGATCTAACACAGGATTCAAGTTCTGCAAAACTCAGCTGTTCAGAACGAAAGAAATATTAGCCAGTTGTAAAAGCATTAGTACCATTATCGATCATGTTCTTTACCAGTAGATTTTATTTGTACCAGAAACAATGCTAGTGTTTTGTTCTATTGCAGTAAGCATCTTTTGGTTCACTTCAAGTCCTGGCTTTGTGTATTGATTAAGTATAACCCCAGAATAACTTCTATGTGTTCTGCTCTTATGAATACCACAAATATGCAAATGCCTTGTAATGAATTGAAGTGCTCATTTCTGTTCTCATATAACTATAAATTCTTCCTGACACGGAGCTCTTTCCTAACCAATTCCTGCTACACAAGTATTGTTGAATCATCTTTGTTTTCCAAAAAGGTATCTCTGAAACATTTTTTATACCAAGTGTTTACTGTAGGAAGCATTATTTTAACCAGATTTGCTTTAGTCATGCAAGCAAAATGCTAGAGAGCAGCTCTGCCAGTGAAATTGTGTGACAAAGTAGCATTTAATAAGGGCCAAAAAAATGTGCTGTTACCTAGAAGTGGACGAAGAAGTGTGATTCAATGAATGCTATCTGAATGTTTGCAGTGTAACTTCTTAGAAGAGCCCTCAAAATATTTAAATCTCTCATCCCTTGAGATGCATAATAAAATCCAGCAGGTAAACAGTTTGTTGCATTGCTTTCCAAAAATGTGTCCCTACTGGCCTGCAGATTTGCAGAACCTGGTCAGGAAGACAGAGTCTTTCTGCCTTTTGGAAATGCTCAGTAATCTCCCAGTATCTCTGTTTGCTTTCATTTTTTTTATCTTTTATTCCCCCCTCTCACCCCACATTCATGCCTCCAATTTAATTCCTGTTCCCTTGACTTACCTACATCAGCTTTCGCTAGTGAAACACAAACCACTGACAGCTGCTTCTGTTTGCCAGACAGTGAAACAAATTTATTTTTTCCCAAATATTTGTATTCAGCAGCATTATTTGTACACCTGGAAGTTTCTCTGTGGCTTGGCAACTTCCTGATGTTAAAATTCCTTCACTGAGCTCTGTGTTGTGCTTTGGTGGTGGATCATTTTGGTGATGATTGTTTTTCTTGAAGGCAACTAGCGTTGTCGCCAAAGGAATGTCCTTAAACCATGACAAGGAATCAGCATGTTTGTTCACAGTTGGTCAGTTGCAACCTGATAACTCTCACCTGAGCTCCTGGGCTCAGTGGTGTATTGAGTAGGTTTGGATGGGTGTGTGACTTCTCCCTGCGTGGTAGCTGTTGTCTCTCACTCCAGAACCTACATGCTCACCTGGACATAGATGAAGTTACTTCTGCATGGCTTTACAAACCTGGTTCATTGGTAAAGTGAAGCAGTGGAGTCTGAATTTACAGCCAGCCAGCCTGCAGCTGTGCTTTTCTTGGGGATATCTGGACAGTGCTGTCAGCATCTGTAAGCATCCTGACAGTTAAGGAGAGATCGTGGGTTCAGCATCCAGTGCTTTTGGTGGATACACAGGGGGGATTAGCATGGTAGGGTCCTTTGTTCTGATTGCTGGGAGAATCTCCATGTGTGAGCTGAAAGTAAACGTGTCATTCATTTGTTATCTTCCTTTCTGGCAGTGGTATGATAACTTCTGTTTTATGTGGCCAAATGAACTTGGGCACTGAAAACCATTGGGTTTTTTTTCTTCCCTCTTGTTTTCCTCTTGACTTTACTTTGCCTACAGCTATTTTGTTTCAAGCTATTAGAGATGTCTACTTCAAGGCAAACTGGTCTATTGCATATTCAGTAGTGTTCAAAGAGAAAACTAGGGTATTGTATTAAGAGATGAATAACATTGTCAAGGAACAAGAATCAGCTGCACTGGTCTCTTAGGAAATTGAGGTTTGAAAATGAGGCATCCAGATTACACATGGATCGTGAAGTTAGTGAAACTGGAAATGGGCCTCTGGTAAACCAGTTACTCAAATGATCGTGCTCTAAAGTGTTTATAATCCCTGAAGTAAACTGCTTTAGTAGTGCTTTGTTTCTGTTTTTGTAAATACTGTGATAGCAGTTACCAGTTAAAGCTCAGAAAAGTGTCATGGCTCTCTTAACTTGCAGCGAAGGTGGATTTCTAACTAGTCAAATGTGGTCAATTATTGCCTTGACATATTCACAGTAGAAGGGTAAAAGGAAAAGAAAAGATCACCTGTTCCTAATTTGGTTATTTCAGGTTTTAGTGCATCACTTCTTATTCTGATCACACTAAGCATCCTCATATCAAACGGTGAAAATGTCAGACAGGTGGAGCAGAAATTATGACAGAGAGAAACTGATTTCTCCAGTTGCCTTGAAATGGCAGCTGGGGGAATGACAGGCTTGGAAATGAGGAGCATATCTGTAGTACCTGACTTGAATTGTTCTAAACAAGGCATTGAGCAGAATTCTCTCCGGTAAAAGCTGGTAATTTGAAAATGCTTTGGAGTATGGTATGTTTTGCTTAACTGACTGCAGTCAGAATTACTGAGCATGAATTGTGCATGGACCTGGATTTGAATTCTTCCCAAACCTTTACATTCAAAATACTTACTTTGGCAAGTGCAGAAACAATTTGTATGAGCATGAATTAAGTTTGCTGTTTTCCTTGAGGTTGTCATCTGAATGGCACAGTTCAGGCATGACAGTGACATGAAAACTTAACTTTGAATGTCAGTAGGTTCTGATTGTATTTTCAGGTTTAGCCTTTTTAAATAAAAAAGATAAATACATGAAAATATATCTGATAGTACCCATTTTTAGAAGACATTTCTTCCACAAACTGAAGGTGAAAACTTTAGAACTATGTCCTAGTTAAGCTGACAGTCTCAGCATGCATGTCACACCTTGCATATGTATCTTTGGGGAACTGTATAAGCCTCCATTAAATACTACTAGCCGCATGTTTCAGAAGGCATGAGCCTTACTTACGCACACGTTACGTGATACTGCTGCAGCATTGTGAGGTTTTAAAGCATCCGTGGGAGGTTAGATTGTTATTGATTTAACAACTATGTTCTTAAGATGGATGTGTTTCTCACTTTCATGAGTCAAAAAATATAAGGGGATTGTTTAGTTATTATTTTCCTTGCTGTTGTACTCGTTATCCAACGTTTCTGCAAAAAACTACTGGATATTGGCAAGACTACTGAGTGGGATATCTTTTGTTTCTTTGCTAGAACTTGCATTTATGTGGCATGCACAGGAGTAGATGTAACCCCTGTGTAAAGGACTAGAGATGCTTACGTATTGTCGACACTTACAGGACTTTCTCAGATTAAAAATATATGTGTAACTTTGAAAACTGAACACTGTTCTTTGTTTTCCTCTGATTTCAGAGTGTCAACAGTATACCATGTCCTGTGACTGCAGTCAGAACTTTACCCACCTTTGAGGTTAAACAAGCAGAAAGGCCTTCAAGCAAAAGCAAAGATCTTCCTAGGGATGAAGAAAAAGAAAAGAAAAGAAAAAAACACAAGAAAAGATCTCGGACAAGATCTCGGTCACCATTCAAGTATCATTCATCGTCTAAGTCCAGATCTAGATCACATTCAAAAGCAAAGCACTCACTTCCCACTGCCTATAGAACTGTCAGGCATTCAAGGTGGGTTTGGAAACCAAACATATTCTTTCAAGTTCTCTGTGGGCTAACACTAATTTTTTGCACTTCTTCCATTATTTATGTGTCTTCATACCCATTACAAAGAGTATAGTCACCTTGAAGACAGTATATAAATATCATCAAATGTGGAAGGTCTTTGAAAATAGTTTTAATGAGATAATGAGTCATTGATTTCTAATTACATAGTGTGAAAATTGTACCAGTAAATGCTTTTTCACGCTGGTTTGTGAAATACCTGGCAATAATGTGTAGGAATGCAATTACAGCAGGAAGAGAACTTGCTAATAAGTCTGTGGCTTTTGCTGGAGTAAAGTAACCAGACAATATTAAAGTAAAAAATAGAGAGAGAGAACTGTGTGGTTGAACAGCAAAGTTTGGAAGGAAAACAAGCATTTGGGCAGCATGTGAAAAAATGATGGATGAATGGCTGGAGATATATGACAAGAATCCAAGGGTGAAAACAGAGTTTATGAGGAAGGGAGACCATAGAATGAATGTAGCCCAGTGCATTTAACTCTGTATTTAATCGTTACTGAGATTAAATGCACGATATTAATTGCCCAGCTATAAAACGATATATATTGTATTACATTAATACTGTTAATTACGTCTAAGACATTTGGGTCTAGGCAACTTAAAGTTTATTGTCTGTAAAATTTGTCGTATCTGAATCCCTGCTACATAGCAATTACTGTGGTCAGTAGGAAGGGGCTTATTCTTGAGGTTGTATTCTCTGGATCATGCTGCAGAGCAGTGTTTAAGTAACTTGTTCAAATGAGTTGTGTATATAAATACTACCACAGTTATATATGTACGTGATGTAGGCAAAATCATACATTCCTTTATCTTTGTGGCCATGCCTAGGACATACGCTTCTTCCTGAAAAACAGCTTCTAGCTCTTTATGGCGGTGTGACAGAACTTCCATCTGTTCTTGTGCATTTTTTGTTTGTTGACGAAGTTTCTAACTACATTAATATAAGCAGATGTTAACACATTACAACTTCTTATTTTAAGGTTAAATACAATCCTGTTGCAGAAGACATCTCTGCTGTTCAGAGATGCAGTGAATTAAATGAACATAACTTCGGCTGAAAGGATCAGGCGGTTGTGCCGCTTATTTGACTGCCTTTGACAATAGATGCTCTGTGTTACAAAGCACATTCCAAAGCACTGTGTGTCATCCCTTTTCTTACCACTGTGTAAAGGGAATGACGTTGAGTGATGCTTTCCTTGTTTAAGTAATGAATGTAAGTCTTCTCAGAGTTAAGGATACCTTGGAAAAAAGTCTCCTCAGGTGAATCACTCATCTGCTCAACTCCCTGTCAAGCCGTGTTTTCACTTGAACCTCCCATGTCTCTTCATCTAAGCTATATTGCATATATTTTTCCATGATTTTACTGATACATGGTAAAAGGAAAGAGAAACATCATCTTAATGCAAAAAAAACCCACAAAACAACCCTAGTAGTACTCTTCTGTGGTACCTTGAAAAAGACAAAGAATCACCTGAGAAGATCCTTACCAATACCTGGGTATGTGACTTGACAGGATAAAGATAATCCTGCATGTTGCATGAGTGACCAGGTTAACGGGAACTTGCAAGTTCAGATTGATACATACCGTGGTATGTCTTCAGTGACTTCAGGGAGATAAGATATATGGTCCTTTAGAGGCTTGAGTATTTCCACCAACTTGTATACATTTGGTTCTGCTGGTGAAAAGACAACAGTCTTCTGAAGTCCACCACATACACAGTGGATAGTCTCATTATGTTTTGATGGGTTTGGGTTTTGGGTTTTTTTGGTGGCCAGCTGGTGGAAAAAAGTACACAAAAATCCCCAAGAACAGTTAATCAACTGGAGCTAATCTTAATGTGTCACCTTGAATGTGCCTCTTAGCACAAATCAAATAAGAGACACATAAAAGCCTTGACATTGTGAATCAACACAGCACGTGGTTAAATCTGGTTGCATGTTTCCTCGATCAGATGTTGAATTCTATAACCTGAGAAGTCCAATAAGCTTCATGCTGGGTAGCTGAGTTTTAAAATTGTTTCGGAAAAACTCACCAAGTCTTGCATGTATTTGGCACATTTTAAAACTTCACAAAAGTTAGAGCTGAATGGGAAAGGGCTTTCCATTCAGCCTGTCTTTGTGTTCTGAGACTGCTGGTTGAAATGAAGGTATCTGGAGGGTGTCTTTCCCATTCAGAAACCCTTTGGTTCTGGGAACTTAAGATAGTATCATCAGTGCTGAATGGGTGCCTGTTCCCTTTAAGCTTTCTGCAGGCATTAAGAAATTCAATTAGAGGCAGTTATATTAGGTGGGAGACCTGTTAGAAATTTGAATGTACCTTCCTCTCTATAGCATTTCACAAGAACATGGCTAAATCTAAACTTCTGACTAAGGACCTCGTATAATTCAACTGCAATGAATATTTTTCTCCAGCAACTGATACTTAATACAGTGACTGTATTGGTTTAATGTAGTCAGTAAAGACAATCAAGTCTAAGGCGGGATGCATCGAATGTCTCCTCATCTGGAAGATGTTGTTCTGTTTGGCCTCAGCTAGAGTACTGTGTCCAGTTTTGTGCGTCCTTTAGAAGGAATTAGACCAGCTGGAGGATGTTTAGAGGGAATCATCAAGAATTTTCAGAATTGAGAGAGTTGGAATGACTATTTGGAAAGACTGAAGGAAGATGAAATAAATCTTCATCTATGCCAAAAAAGAGGGAAATGAACATTCTTCTTCAGTTCTTGGAGTTTGGACAATAAGTAATGGATTTAAATGGCTAACAGAGAGACTAGAAAGCTTTTCATAGTGTCTCAGTGGTAAAGGCAGTTAATACAGATTGGAACACTCTCCATTGTGGGAAATTTCTGTATCGAGAATTATAGTTTGGAGAATATTGAATAGTCTTTATTTCTTGAGGTCTTTTCTAGCCCTGACTTTCTAATTAGGGTCCACGTGGTCTCACACTGTACAAGAAATGGTGATCATTGAAGACTTGTTTTATTGAAGGTGTTTGCTACGCCTTAACATACTCACTGTGTTTCCAAAATTAAAGCTCTTGCTCTTGAAACCAGAAAATTTGTAGCGTGGTCAAGAGTGGGAGACTGATTCATAACCCAGTCAGATATGGATGTGTTCTGTCTCATGTATGTTTAGACAAAAATAATGCCTTGTCTTAGTAGTTGCCAAAAAAGGTACATGTTGTTGCCTAGCTAGAAGATGTGACTGGTTTACTTTCTTTTTTCTATGTATTTGTATATTTATTGTGGATTCAGTGAAAATGATTTCCATGCATTGTCTTGTCTCATTCAAAACATGATACCTTTCACATCTCTTTCCTCTTCAGTTTCCCCAGTGCTTCAGCTAAACCAGTTTTTTTTCTCTAGATTCCCAGAATATTGGATGTTGCAGTTTACTATTGAATGGTTATGTAAAAGGACATACCCTCCTGGGATAAAGTGTAAACTATTTGTAGAGGTCAATATGTTCATCAGGTATTAAATGAATAGTGATAAGAGATAGTCTTTATTGTGTGGACATTGATACTAAATTACTCAAAATAGGGATGTTCCAGTGCAACTGCTTTATTTGGGTATCTCAGTCTGATGTTGTATGTTTGGGATTTTGTTGCCTTATTTTGTTCTGTTCAAAATATATATTCAAACCTACAAATCTCAGTATAAAGTGATTATTGCTGCTTCATTTTACCTCAAGAGTGGACTGCAAAAAAAAAAAGGGGATTTTCCATTTCTGTAGTACTTACTGCTCCAGTTCCTGTTAATGAAAACAGGATCTTTTTGTTAATAAAGAAACTTTTGTAACTTTATTAGAGTAGCTTATTAGCTTTGAAGTATCTGCATAGTGAAGATAAGTATTTTGGATTTGAAGTTATTTAAACTATTATATTTAAATGAACTGTGACAGCCAAAAGAGGAGTTACGCTTATTTCATAATTTTTCATTAGCCTATATTGCATTCAGATGATAATGAATTATCTCTGAATTGTAATAATGACCACTCAACACATACCCTGTATTTGGGGAACTGTCTTGAAGCGTTAGATTTTGTGAGGTTTCCATATAAACATTAGTAGAACTTCTGTTTGAAAGGTCTTTGAGTAGTTACTACTTAATAGTATAAGTTCTTTTAAAAAGTAAGATTAAAAATCACCTTTACCATAGAACTTGCCATGACAAGTTAATAGAGAATGAGATGTGGGAAGTGAAGTTAAACATAGAAATTTGCAGTAACTTTCTTTGCTCTTTATTCAGGGGATGTTCAGTATTCTTTTCAAGCTCTTTTTGGATTGTGTATCCTAACATTATCTTTTCTCCAAAATGCTTATTGTGCTTAGAAATCCTACAGATGAACTTTGCAATATACTTGTCTGTATACCATTTTATACCAGTTGTTTATCATTTATTTTTGTATTATTAGAGGTCTAGAGGCTCTGCTTCATTTAAAAATAGTCTTTTGTGGTAAGATGCAATTTTTGTACTGTTTCTTTTTTTTTTTTTTTTTAATTCTTTCTAATGCCTCTTTAGTAGTATTAAAGTTGAAAAATTCTGTTCCAATAACACAAAGTTGATTTAAAGCGTGCTTCTGGGTAGCACAGCCAAACCTGTTTTGCAGCAAGAAGTTTAAAACACTGCAGCTACATGAGGAGCGCAGATACACTGTTTTAATTGGAGCATGTGGTGTGCTAACAGCAATTCTCTGTATAACTGCATGTTATTTTCTGGAGCAAAGTTTCTGTGCCAAAGCTAGTCCCATAAAGCTCCTAGCATTGTGCAGTTTTAATTCTAGAGCAACATGACAGATTAAAGTTTAAGAAAAGTCATGGAAACAGTAAACCATGCCCAGAAGAGCTGTAAGGTGTTGCAGCCTGGATTGCTTTGGAGCTGTTAGTCCCAAAGAGATAGTTATTACAGATAAGTACTCAGTGTCAAAGATAGGGCACATTTGTTAAATCTGTTTTGGAAGGCAAGCAGTCTTTGGTACCTCTAGTAAGTGCTTCATCGGTGTCTTTTTTCCTAATTGATTTCAAAGCACCATTAAAAAGTTTGATGTGAAATGTACCTTAGAGTGGTGCTCTTTGAAGAAGTGTAGGTTGTTGGTCACTGGAGTCTTCAGTTATGCGGTTCTAGCTGAGAAGTGAGGTTTCACAGTTGGCTGGCAGTAAATGCAAAGAATTATGTTCATCTGAACTACCAGTAGATCTCTGTACTACATGATCTAAGCTAATGATTTATTTGTATGTGTGAGTGTGGCTTGTTTGTGTGTGTAAAAGGAAAGGAGGAGAAGCAGAAGCACTCGTTACATAGTGAACTAGTTAAATGAAACTTGGTTGAGATGGAACATCTAAACTTCTCTTTGATACTCTTTTTCTTTATACTGTCTAGTAATGGAGCAGTAGTAAGCCACAGAATTTATCCAGTTGACGAGTTATACAGAGTACTTAGTAGTTGCATACTTTACTAACTGGTTACTTGTCAGTAAGTTTGGATAGAGTACGTGTGTGTGTTTGTGTGTGACTTTGCCTCAGTGTTAGCTTAGGAGACTTGGAAATAGCTGGGGTTGGTAAAAAAAGGTTGGTTGAGTTTTTTTTTTTTTTTCTCCTTCCAAACTGATTTTCTTATTGCTGAGGCAGTGTCCATTCACTTAGTTTTAATTCCTGTTTTGTAATGAGACATGCCAAGCTTTGTAACCCCTTGAACTGTTGGGACCCTACTAAACAGAAGTGATATTGGCTTTAAAAGGAATAGAGTGCCTTCTGAAATAACAGTCTAATGAAAGCAATAATTGATGTATTGCGGTAAAACTGTTTAAGCTGTTTTTAATTGTTTGAACCTAATGGCCAAAGTTCTTAACATTTGGTGATGTTGTAGAACCACAAACTTCAGTTCATAAAAATGAAGCTAATGATTTTTTCTTTCTGATTGGACTTTTTTTAGGCTGGTCCATATAGGCATGTTTCACTAACGTTCAGCTTTTGGTTAAGGGACTGAGCCTTTTCAGGATTCTAGTTAATACCAAAACTAGGACATTTTATTCTCAATGTGAAGTGTGTGCCTCCGTATCACAGACTCACAGCATCCACAGGGACACTGAGCATGGAGCCAACTCTGAGCAGCTCATCAATGGCAGCAGCAACAGAGCGGGAAAATTATCAGGCAACTTCGACAGCGAAAAGATTTGACTGCTGGAGCTCTTTTGAGGGAAATCCTGGTAAAATGTCAAGGTGTCTGACTGACCCCAAACTTTATCATCTGTTGGTTTTTTTTCCTTTTTAATCCTTCTGAATGGCCTGGTAAAGATCAGATTTCTAAGTGACAAAGCAGTTAATTTGCAACACTTTAACTGTCATTGTGATTAATTTCTTTCATTTTCAGTTGATCTCTTTTGTTGTAGGTGTAAGAGAAATGGCTCAGGAGTGTGTGTATGTATATATATTATATATATGGTGTGAGTCCGCAGAAGAGCAGTGATTTCACAAATGACTTGTCTTTTAGTCCCAGCAAATTAGGTATTTTCAAGAACATCAGTGCTTGGTATACATGGAATGACATACCTATAGTAAATAAATAAGAAAGACTTTAAAATAAGTAAGCAAATAGAAGTAAAATTATTAGAACTATATATTTTAGTGAGAACAAAACTAACTGTCAGGAATTTTGGGTGGATTTGGGGTTGGGTTGTTGTTTTTTTTTCTTTATTCCAAGCTGGGTCCCTGAATCACCCCCTTCACCATCCCCCCCTCCCTTACATCTGTCAGGACTTTTCTCACTCCATTTATTTTGTTAAGAAATACTTAGATTTTACTTGCACATCCACTTAATGCCAAATTGTAGAGAAAAGGAGTTAAGCGCTTAAGTTGATCTCTGATCTTAACTGGGCATGCTTTATTCTTTCCTCTCTTGATCTCTTTCTCTCACTTTTCTAGGAAAAGTATTTCAAGTCAAATTGCTAGTGCCAAACAACACCGATCATGGGTTGTTGGTCACTTGCACAAGTGAAAATATTGGCTGTGCTAGGATCATTCTACACCATCTGGGATAAAATTTCCTGGACTTGTCAGTGGTGGAGATGTGCTGAAAACAAAAACTTGTATTTATCTCCGTGATTCAGCAGTTCTAAAAACATACCACTAATTTGAAAAGACAGGGTCAGGCCTGACAGTCTCAGGCTTTGAGCCAAATTGGACTTCTGCATACCAATGTTAGTAAATCCTGTTGCCTCAAAAGGTGACAGGGCTAAAGTAAAACTTTTCCACTTTCTAATGCAGAAGTTGACATTAGTACACAGTAGCAAAAAACAAATGCTTTTGCTGTAGCAAAAAATGTTTCCCCCACTCCCATTGGGAGTGAAAAGCAATGGATAACTACATCCCAAATGTCCTGAACGGGTGAGAAATTTTTATGCAGCTGACAAGTCTTGGACACTAAATACCCCATGTTGATACAAAATAGGCATTTAAAAGGTATTCTATTTGCAATTGCTGACAGCGCAATTCCACTGAAATAGAAGTAGTGAAAGAAGTAACAGAAAGCAAACTTCTGTATTTTTTTTTCCTGCTCAGGTCACGATCAAGGTCACCCAGGAGAAGGGCTCACACACCAGAGAGGCGGAGAGATGAAAGAAGTGTTCCCACAGCCTATCGCATTAGTAACAGTCCTGGAAACAGCAGGAAACGTCCACGTTCCAAGTAAGTATGCCTGGTCCTGGATCCAGGAGGTTATGTCCTGGCATCGTAAGAGGCCATGAACATTGCCTGATGTGTTGTGAACTCTCTAGGTAGGACTTAACATTTCTTTATGTTCTGGGCTTTGTTTTGATAAGCAAATGTTTCTGGGGAGGAAAAAAAAGAATAATAGAAGCTCTCACTGTCCTTCTCCCATTCTTGCATATGTTTGAACACTCTATGTACAACCCAGTCAGTGAATGCTGATATGCTACTATCTCCTAGCTGTGAGAGTTCATATTTTGAGTTCTCGTATTTCCTTCTTTTTGACTTATTTTCTCATGCTCTGCCTATGCAAACCAAATGGCCTCTGTGCAGAGGTCATATAGTGGTATTACGTTATTCCTACTGGCATTGCTTGGCATCTCGTCATATCTGCACAAATAAGGGGAAACTCCAGTTTAGCAAAGGGTATGCTTTACATTTAGCAATTATTTTACTGAGAGTGGAATGTGAAACGGATCAAGAGGTGCTCTCTTTTTTTGAGAGCACCTTGTGTATAGTCTCTCTGAACCTATTGTAATCAGAATGGCATACCAAACATTATTTAGGCTCATCAGTTGCAGAAGATAACTGTGTGCAAAGTGTGTGCCCAGAAGGCTTTGAAATGTTTTGTGTCTCTAATATTTTGTGGCATATTATGCCTTCAACATGCAAGGAAGGGACAATTTTTCATGCTTGTATATGTACACCTAAAGTGTACACAAAACCCTACACACTGAATTACTAAACTGAGCATACAGAATTTTCCTTCTAATTGGTGAAGATTAAGTCTTAACCTGTTTCTCCTTATCTCTTGTGGAATAGGAAGCAAAGAGATCACTTTCAACGTTACAATTATTTAAAAATGTCTATTGTTTCCTGAGGTAACTTTCCATGTCTTGACAGTTTCTAATTAATTGATGTGTGGTATGCATAATTGAGAGCTTCATCAGTATACTTCAACTGATTCCGTTTTTCATGTTCATCAACTTGAGATAATGGAGGCTTCTGTGGAATTCAGCATGCAAATTTGGTTAAGCAGAAAACATACAGAAGCTTAAAATGTTTTTCTTCCTGTAAACACACACAAGAATTTTTTCACAGCCCTGAGCTATTTTCAAGGCAGTTATGCCACTAATGGTAAATTATGATCTTAATTGTGAAACAAACTAGGTTCTTCCTTAAACAATATGTATTTGTATAAAGTGAAAATTGTTTATATAAATGGAAAGCTTATTTAAGTTAATGTAAGTGGAAATGGCAAACTTCTGTTAGGCCTACACTTCACAACAAAATATGGCAGTAAGTGCAAAAAATTGTGGACTGAAGAAAGGATGTTGTAGTTACACACAGATGAGAATATTTCGCAGCTCTGATTTCAGAAAACCTTCTATTTCAGCCCTCTCGGGACTGGCATGTTAATTTTTTATGTAGAAATGTGGATGAGTGATGGACCTGTTCAGTTATGGAATAGATTCTTCACAATGGTGTAATGGAAGCAGAGGTTGGGTTCAAGGTCTATTAAAAGCTGATTAGTTTACTTGGCCTTTCTATGAGTAAGCAGTGGATATTTTGCCTGGTGGCTGAGAGCAGATTTCAGTCTTGCATAGCAGCAGTCAGCTGAGTGGGTTTTATTAACCATTGTTACACTAAGTAGTAGGCAAACTTTAGAATCCAGTACTGTCAAGAGGACTGAAAGTTAGAATTCCTGAATACTTCAGTGTTGTAAACTTGCTCAGGGCATTAATGTGATGTCAGTCATGGTGCTGAGTATCTAGCATTGCTTGTAAACCTTTAGGTATATTTCCAGAAGAAAATGTTTAAGAACTAGAAAGCTATGCTTTGTCTTGTTTGGGAATTACTGTCTCACTGCTTGTAGAATGAGGTGTGCTTCAGAATAAATATAACAATTGTCTTTTGTTCTACTTACCATATACCTCATTTGCTATCACAGTCACTTCAAAAAGAAGTCCAGTGTAAATGAGTGTTTTAATCTGACTGCAGTGAATTACATTCCAGAGAGAATATGCATAGGTCTTTGATGCTACCTTTTGTGCCTAGAAAGATATTAAAGAAAAAAGCCTAGTTTTAGCAAATGGAATGTTCTAAAAATAGAAAATTGATGGACATATTCATTCAGCTCTTACGTTGTTTGTTCTTCATAATCGGAGATGAAAAACACTGAAAAAGATTACTGCAAAATGTTCTTGCATGATGAACGTTTGCGGAGATTTTTCAAGAGTTAAGTATGAAATACATTCACAGCTTGATTACATTATAATGTTTTAAGAAACTGGACTATTACAGTACATAATCTGCTCGCCAAGGAAAAACTGGCTTTGTAACTGATGTTTTTTATATAGTTGTGAAAATGTTAGCGGTCAGTAGAGCTGTGGAGTTTTTCTGCCACTTAATGATTATTTTTGCAAGAATAGTTTAAGGAGGTTTTGCACTTTTAAGTCTTGATTGTTAAATTCTCTATAAAGACCAGATATTTGTATGATAAATTCTAAGCATCAGAGGTGTACAGTGTTAATGTGGGAATTTAATGTTATAGTGTAGCTGCTTTTAAAGTAGCAAATTCCAAATAAAAATAAAGGAACCAATAATGCAATACTTTAAAGATGGCTCAAAGTTTTACAGTGTTTTAAGAGGTTCTAGAAGCTTCAACAACATTTTTCTGAACAGACTTCTAGCAGTGCATGCTAGAGAGATATATCTACAATGAGGTATTGCCTAACTAATAAAGTCATTACTCCAGTAGTTCTAATTACAGTAATATCAATATTGGCATGTAATTATACAGCCATAAATTCATAACAATGTATAAAGATTTTGATAGTTCTGTCTCTAGGATGTTGCTAATTGAATTCTCCTTGAGCTTAATACTGCATATGAGGAGGCTACCTCTGTTTTCCCCTTCTATCAATAATGAAAACATCAGGTACCCGTAAGCCCTTTGTTCCACTCTCATCATGACAAACATTTGTGTATCTACTTTCCAATTCATAAACTATTTGCACTTAACACGTGTTGCTAGGTCCAGGTTTGTTTGAGTGGCATACAAGATGTTGTTTATAAGTTTGAGCCTGCCGTCAGTTGCATTAGGTTGGGTCACAAGGGGGCCATTTCTTTTAACAAACAAACCATGGATTTGCTTTGTATATCTTTTGCATAGTTATGATTCCATGGTTTGTTCACTTATGAGCTAGGAAAATTATAAGGGATATAAATTCTTACATTTCTCATTATATTTTAAGTGTCTGATGTTGTTTGGGAAGGGACTTCCCTCTAGCAAAGTTATTCTGCAAATCTCCAATGAAAGATTTTTCATTGTCGTCCTTCAAATTACCAAATATTGTCCAGTAATTCCTGTGTACCCATGAAGCAACATTCCAAGTGAGAGCCTCAGGTGTTAGTAGTTGCCTAATGTAATACATTAAAAAGAGCTTCTGAGAAAGTATTTTGCACAACCATAGGATTATTGAGGTAAAACTAATGCTTGCTGAATGCATGAGAAGTATTCTGTGGAGAAGGGTTACATAAGCTTTTAGAAGGGTGATAAGTAACTTCAGCAGAGCTAGTGTACTACTGCTTTAAGTATCCTTCAATAGAATATTCTCTTCTTACAGAAGTCCCCATGAAAAGAAGAAGAAGAGGCGGTCTAGATCACGTACCAAGTCCAAAGCTAGGTCTCCTTCACCATCCATGTCACCAGGCAAACCATCCACACACAAAAATTCTGTACATTCAACTAGTGTCTCTCCTGTGGAGAGCAGGGAATCCAGCCAGGAACGCTCCAGGTAATACGCTCTTTGACTGTGCTGATGTTTCTTGACTGTGAGTGTGTCAACCAAGAAGCTCTGTGTGTGTGTAATGTGTGCCTCTTAAAAGTAGAAGACACTGGGAGGACAGCACTGTGTGCATCAGTCTAATGAAGACATTGGATTTCTTTTGCTTACTAGAATAAATATCTCTGTATACTCTTACAGTAAAACTGGTGCAGAAAATTCTGCAACCGAGTTGTAAGTTGGAAACTCAATGAATGGGATAACTCTTTGAAGTAGAATTTTAATAGAGTGGTTTGAATTGTAATGTCTGTGGAAGATTCATAATTAAATTATTTCTACGCAATATGGGACAGTCCTGTTAAATTCCTATGCTGTTGTCCAGACTTCTCTGCATCAATTGTATGAGTGGCTCCTCTGACTTTGACTTGTGGCTTCTAGTTGAATGGGAGAACTGTTGACTTACGAGATACTTGTATAAAGTATCTCATATATGTATAAAAATCATGATGAGTAAAATGCATTTTTTAGACATTTGCTATGAATTACTAATTCTATTTTTACTTTATTTTTAGGGGAGTTTCTCAGGAAAAAGATGGCCAAATCTCTTCAGCAATTGTGTCTTCAGTGCAGAGTAAAATCACTCAGGTACAAATAAAAAATTCAAAGTATATTGCCTAATTAAGTGTGTCCATCGTGTTGTTTTCTTACTACCTTGTACTATTCTGAGTTTTGCATATGATGTAGAAACATGTTCATTGTCATTCTTAATCTGCTTGCTTATGAGAAGAACAATTCTGTTGCTTCTGTAGCTGCTGTCCTTTCAAATTTAATCAAGTCTCTGAAGACCAAGCTAAATTTATAATGCCATAGTATATTCACTGTTACAATATGAAAGTCACATTATTCTACAATACCCCATCTTACCATGTAGGGCTCTTAACAAGTGTCATGGAAGAAGGAAGAAAGGAAGGAAGGAGAAATACCTTGGTAAAGGCTAAGTTTGTAGTGTGGGTAGTAGAGGAAAAATATGACCTCTTGCAAACTGAAGTGTATGCTTTGCCTTAAGCAATATCTTCAACTCACTTATCTCACCCTTGTTGCTGTTTATGTCTCTGAACAATTGTTATGATTTTGTTGATATATTCAAGTTTGCTGTGAATCATGGCATAATAAGTGCCTCTATATGCTGTGCAGTAATCTAAATGCATTCAGCTTATTCAGCTTCCCTGACGCAGTCTTAAGATACCCAGCCTCCATCAGAAGAATTCCATTCCTGTTTTAAAAGCTACCACATATTACCACTCTTTAAAATTTTTAATTTCACTCATCCTCTTAGAGTCTTCATGCATATTTAACTTTCTTCCAGTTGAATATGCCAAGTTTAGAGGAGGAAAGCTCATAATTATGCTTTGGGAAATTTACAGTATCAAATTGGAGTTGATTTTCGTATTCTTGTTTTTTCCAATGGATAGATTATTCTTTAAATAAATTAATATTGTTCATGGCTTTAGTTCCACTAGGGAAATAGTGGTAGATGAGAATTAAAACTGGTAGACTTGTGTCTTATATACCATATTTGATCCATTTTTTATGAGAAACCCAAACCAAGCATGTTCAGGAAGGTAGAAAAATATCAAGCACAGGCACTAGAGAAAGAAAATGAAGTACTAATGCCACAGCACTTCTTAGGCTACCAAACAAATGCATGGGAATT